GGGGGGGTTGAACGAAACAAGCTTCTTGAGGAATTGTTTCATAATTTTTAAGAACACTCCCACAAAAGAAAACCAAAATAATAAAGAAGAATTAATCAATAAATGAAATACATTGAAATAAGACTGAATACTACCTTGTCCATGGTGTGGGCATTGGCCTGAGCCAGGACAAAGGGAATGTCAGTTGTCTTGGCGGTGAATTTGAAGTGGCTGGGATGCTGACGGTACTTAATCTCGCTTAGGATCTCGGTGGCTTTCTTGGCTTTTTCCACATCAACTGAACCGATTGGCACCCAACCTGTTCCCCTGATCCATTCCATGTCGGCCTTGTAAACAGCCTAAGAATCACAGTGGGGAGGACAAACATTGAGTTCTCTTTTTGAAAAAAAAATCTTTGCAGTTTTCAGCAAAACACATTCCAAAGGAATTTTTTATTGCTCACATCACTCTGGAGGTCGTAAGCCTTTCTGGCCTGGACCACATCAGTGGAGTCAGGTAGGCAGGTCCAGTTGTGCAGATGAGTTCTGTAGTTGAAGTCGTTGACTTGGATCTGGCACTTCTTGGCGAGCTCCAGAGTCAGCATGTCTGCCGGCAGGTTGTACCTGGTCTTGGACTCGTTGAAGTCCTTCTTGTACAGGGCGTCACTGGCGATCTTGGCTGAGTTCAGAGCCAGCATGATCAGAGGGTCGTCCTGGATGCAGCGAGCACCGATGTGGTGGCCCACCTGCTTACGGTACCCCATCTTGTATTTGTACTGTGTAGAGAGAAAGAGTGAAGTGATGATTAACAGAATATGGCACAAATAAGCACAAGTCACTATCAGAGAGAATTAATTTATATGTTACGTACATCACTGATGATTTCTCTTCCACGTTTGGCAGCAACAATAGAGACGGCATCGGTCTTAATGTCGTAGCCCTTCCTAAACATCTCCTCAACACCTTCCCTGTATATTTTCTGGAAGTGAAAAGAAAAAATAGTTTAGTTATAAATATGAAAATCACATACAACACGGATATTTTCTGACATGGATGTGTAACACCCAAAACAGACCAGAACGTACCTTGCTGATGTTGTAAGCATTAGCTCTAGAGAGCAGAATCTCAGGTAAGTCAAAGATCACATGGTTCTTAACCTTGTCAGCCTCCCAAGCATCAGTGTAGTTTTTCTGTGGTGAGAAACACAAAAAGAAAACACAAATTGTAAACACCAGGAAAAGATGGAACAAATGTGCCAAATTCGTAAACGAGGGATGTGATATTCTTTACCTTGTTGATGATTGCAGCGTTCGCTTTGGCCAAGACCATGGGGATAGAAGTCATGTCAGTTGTAAATTTCTGTGTGTCTGGTTTCAGCTTGTAGAGATGGTCGCTGAGAATTATTCCAGCATTCTTGGCCTTCAACACATCAGGTGAACCAATGGGGACCCATCCTACGCCCACGATCTCATCCAAGTCGGCTTTGTATACAGCCTGTTGGGCACATTAAGCACAAAACACATTAAGCACGGTCGATAAAAGGCATGTTGAGACATGTTGAATGTGTCAAAAGGAGGGCTCACATCACTCTGGAGGTTGTAGGCTTTTCTGGCCTGGACCACATCACTGGAGTCTGGCAGACAGGTCCAGTTGTGCAGGCGGGTGATGTAGTTGGCGTGGTTGACCTGGATCTGGCACTTCTTGGCCAGCTCAATACTCAGCATGTCCACCGGCAGGTGGAACTTGGTCTTGGACTTGTTGAAGTCCTTCTTGTACAGGACGTCACTGGCGATCTTGGCTGAGTTCAGAGCCAGCATGATCAGAGGGTCGTCCTGGACGCAGCGAGCACCGATGTGGTGGCCCACCTGCTTACGGTACCCCACCTTGTACTTGTACTGAGGATATTAGCATAAAATGTTTTAGTTACAAGTAGAACAACGCTGACATTATGTGTAATACCAGTGTATCAATCATTGGGTTGTACCGAATGTAATATTTTTAGATTCAAAGCTTCTATCGCGGTCTTCAAATACAGCTTTGAATGGAATATATGATTTTGTGTTATTGTGGTAATATAGCTTAAATGTAATTTATGGTACTGTTAGATTGCTGCTAGACCGCACCAATAATACAGGTGCGTGCAAGAGAGTGAACAGTTTTGACTGCAGTAAAGATGTTGATTTTGAAAGAAACAATCAAGATTTGTTTGAAAGAACAAATAAGGACTAAAGCAGAATATTTTGTTCAATAAAACATGTTTTGAATATTTACACGCAATGTTTTTGTAACATATAAATAATAATAACATGTCAATGTTGTGGATAAAGCTTCCAAGTATGCGGTACAGCCCTAGTCAATCAAATACAAACAGACATTTGATTCAGTATTCAGTATGAGTCACTTACATCACTGACGATGTCCCTGGAGGCCTTGGCAGCCTTGACAGACACTGCATCCACAGGGAGGAAATAGCCTTTGTTGATGGTGGCCTCATAACCTTGTCTGTACAGTTTCTGAAAAGTAGAACATACTTTTTATGGATACTTTTGTGAACTGTTTTAACAAATGGAGGTCTCATCGTGGCACTTAATTCTGGAGAGCTTCAGGCTTTCCACAAACCCAACCTTGCTCATGTTGATAGCATTCTGCTGAGAGAGGACGATCTCAGGCGTGTCAGGGTTGATGTGCAGCTTGGTCTTGTCCTTGTCCCATGCCTCGGTGTAGAGGCGCTGGAACAAACCACAAATATTTTGTTACTTGATGGTATCAACTGGAGAGATCTCCATTGCAAAGCAAGGTAGTCACTATGTACTATAGAACCTTTCATTTCAACCAATAAAATTACAAACTCTAACCTTGTTCATGGTCAAAGCGTTATTCTTTGCCAGTACGATGTTCATGGCATCTGTGGTGCTGGTGAAGGGAATCTTCCAGGGGTGCTGGCGGTACTTCCTTTCACTCAAGGCGTCTGCAGCCTTCTTGGCTTTCTCCACCTCGACTGAGCCAATGGGGACCCAGCCCAGGCCCTGGAGCCACTTCAGGTCAGCTTTGTAGACGGCCTATGATGCGCAGTAACGAAAAAAATTTAACTCCTGAGATACTTGGTAGCATGAACATGAAATTAAAAAAATAAGAGAAAATAAATTAGCAGGGAAGCTACACTCACATCACTCTGTATGTCATAAGCACGTCTGGCCTGGACCACATCAGTGGAGTCTGGCAGACAGGTCCAGTTGTGGAGGCGGGTGATGTAGTTGGTGTGGTTGACCTGGATCTGGTTCTTCTTGGCCAGCTCAAAGGCCAGCATGTCCACCGGCAGGTTGAATTTGGTCTTGGACTGGTTGAAGTCCTTCTTGTACAGGACGTCACTGGCGATCTTGGCTGAGTTCAGAGCCAGCACGAGCAGAGGGTCGTCCTGGACACAGCGAGCGCCGATGTGGTGGCCCAACTGCTTACGGTATCCTGCGTGGTACTTGTA